TGACACATTAGGGTGCCTGTAATATGTCAATTTGATATGCCCAGGTACAGGGGCCTGACAGTGTATAAGTTCCGTGTTAGTAGGGTTTCGAAAGGAGAAATGGAGTGACACATTACAGGCATGTAATATGTCAATTTGCCCAGTCCAGGACCCAGGAAGTGAAGATACACATTATAGTGGGTTTAATGTGCCAGTTTGTTATGTCCATAAAAAGTGCTTTCCGATGTATCAATTTCTTATCAGTAGGGTTTCAATAGGATAGGTGGAGCGACACATTATAGGGCCTGCAGTGTGTCAGTTTATTATGTCCAGGGGTTTTCTAGTGGAAAAGTTCCATTGCAATAGAGGTTCCATAGGAAGGAGTGGAGTGACACATTATAGGGCCTGTAATGCGTCAATTTATACTACCCAGAGACCTTCCAATATACAGATGCCCTACAGTGTATAAGTTCCTTGCCTTTAGGGTTTCAATAGGAATAATGACACATTAGAAGGCCTGTAATGTGTCAGTTTGTTTTCCCATTTGCCTTCCAATGTATCTCTATACATATCAGATCTGATGTGATCACAGCATTAGCCAAGAAGGATCTCACGTAGTTAATAGTCTTCACGATCTTAACAAAGGCGCAATTATCCGTATCGAAGGTATACATTCCCATGAAAAAATCCCTATAGATCCCTTCACAGATCCCTTGTATGGAGCCCTCATAGACAGCCTTTATAGATTCGTATAGAAACTTTATAGATCCCCTATATAGAGAACTTATAGAAACCCCGTATAGATCAACAAATGGTGTTCTTTGTAGAAAACTTTACAAGATCCCTTACATGGAGCTTTCATAGACAACTGCTATATATTCCTTACCCTTTGTAGAAACCACATGGAAGCCCTGTATAGATCCCTCGTATGGAGCCCTTCTGGAAAACCCTTACAGATTGCTTATAGAAATCTTATAGATCCTCTATGTAGAGACCTTATAGAAATCCATTATATAAAAAACTATAGATCCCTTACAGAGAGACTTTCTAGAAGCTCATTATGAATCCCTCATATGGGGCTTTTATAGTAAGCTCGGTTACAAAGTATGTAGATGCGATGTGGTAAGCTATTCTTGATATAGTAGTTAAGATAAATCGATTGTATTATGGTTCGTACAATACCTATGAAATTACCTTTAAGAATATAGGGAGCGGTATTAAAACCAATGAAACCGGCAACGAAGATGATGACGATGAAGAAGATGATGAAGATGATGGAGATGATGAAGATGATGGAGATGATGAAGATGATGAAGATGATGCAGATGATGAAGATGATGAAGATGATGGAGCGGGGGTGGGGTGTCCGCAGCCCTGTTGGACCCTAATGGGTTCGTGGTGGGGGTGGGGGTAGTGGGTGGGGTGGGGGAGGGATGTGAATGGGCAGGGGGTTTGTGCTGGCGTGGTGAGGGGTGGGTTTGGTGGGTGGTGTGTGGTGGGTGGTGTGTGGTGGTTGGTGTGTGGTGGTTGGTGGGGAGGGTGTGGGTGGTGGGCGTGGGTGCCGGGTGGTGGATAATAGGTGGTGGGTGATGGGGTACGAGGCAAGGGCAGGAGGGGGAGGGATGGTGGGGGGGGGGGGG